CTCTAGTTCAGACTGGCCTTGAGCTCACTTTGTAGCCCAGGCTGGCCTCAAACTCAGAACACCTTCCAGCCTCAGCCTCCCAGTGCTGTGATTACAGGCGGGCATCACCACCTCCGACTCAAAGTGATTCTCTTGCGTCAGTCTCCCATGCCTAGCTGAGCCTTTCTTTTCTTCTGGTTTTTTTGAGACAGGATCTCACTGTGTAGCCCAGGCTGGCCTTGAATTCATGGCAATCCTCCCACCTCAACCTCCCAAGTGCTGGGATTATAGGCATGCGCCACCATGCCCAGCCTAAGCATTATCTAAAGTCTAAATTCAAGTGTTTTTCTTCTTAACCTTCCCCATAAGACTTTAGAAGCTTTGTTTCTAAATAGCTCTACCAATTAATTTACCAGTACTTAACTGACATGTTACTGACTTTTATTGTCCTCTTAGACTAATTAGATAGTCAGGCAATTTTCTACCAGTTAAATTCTTGGAAGGGAAGGAAGGAATGAAAACTATTACTAGGGGGGGCTGGGGATTTAGCTCAGTGGCAAAAGCGCCTGCCTGGCAAGCGCAAGGTCGTGAGTTTGGTTCCTGGTACCGGAGAAAAACCAAAAAAGAAAACTAATACTAGGATTTAACCCAGACTGTCACAACTTCTCCATCCTCCTCTTGAGTTCTTTCACCTACAGAAGAAATTAAACACTTTACACTGTATTCATGTATATCAAATAAATTTACTCAAACAAAAACCAGCTGGGCATGGTAGCGCACGGCTGTAATCCCAGCACTCAAGAGGCTGAGGCAGGATCCTTTCGAGTTCAAGGCCAGCCTGGGCTACAAAGTCAGCTCAAGCCCAGCCTGAACTGCATAGTAAGACCCTGTCTCAAAAAAAACGAAAAAACCCCACCAGGGCCAAGTATGGTGGCACACTTCTGTAATCCCAGCACTTGGGAGGCAGAGACTGGAGCATCACCAGAGGTTCCAGGCCAGTGTGAGCTAACTAGTGAGTTCAAGGCTAGCTTGCTTGTCTCAAAACAAACAAAAGACCCAAACACATACAATTGCTCATTTTTAGTTTGCATTTATGTTGAAAAAACTTTAATTTTTTTTCTCGAGGCACATACATAATCTCCTGTAAATGACATTACAGAGAACTGAAGACTAGTTCACTAACCGAACAGGCTAAACACAGATGACACCTTCAATATGCAAGAGAAATTTGTTCATACTTTTACCTGTGAAAAACACACACCTTTTAAGTATTGGAGGAGTGACAGTCTCTGGAAGTAGATACTGACTTCTACAGTCATCAAGGTAGCACCATAAAAAGGAATTCTTTGTTTTGTGAGGCAGGGTCTCCCTATAAAAAATAGCCCAGGCTGGCCTCCAACTTGCAGTGATCCTCCTGCCTCAGCCTCAGCCTTCCAAGAGCTTTGATCACAGGCAAGTGCCACTACTCCCAGCAAAAATTCTTTTTACAACAGATACACACAGAACTATCTTGGTTCCATTAAGTCAATGGGAAAGAGGCAGGTATGCTGGCAAACACCTGTAATCCTAGAACTCAGGAGGGTGAGGCACGAGGATTACATACTGGAGGCCAGCCTGCACTACATAGCGACCCTGTCTCAAAAAATAAGTAAATAAATAAATAAAATTGATAAACAAATATAAATGGGAGTTCCCAAGTGATTCTGAAGGTAGCTTGAGAACCACTGGTTTTCATGGACCTACTAGGGAATGCAGAGACAAGAAAATCTCTCATCAACCTACTAAACTTAAAGTCAACTAAACCGGTGGTGGTGAACCTCTGTAATTCCAGAACTCCTGAGGCTGACGAAGGAGGATCACTGAGAAGTCAGAGGCCACTTTGGGCTACATAGTAAGTTTGAGGCCAGTCTGGGCTGTTTTTTGTTTCAAAAAATCAAAAAACGGCCGGGTATGGTGGCGCACGCCTGTAATCCCAGCACTCGGGAGGCTGAGGCCTGAGGATCATTGCGAGTTCGAGACCGGGCTACAAAGTGAGCTCAAGGCCAGCCTGAACTGCATAGTGAAACCCTGTCTCAAAAAGACAAAAAAAAAAAAAAAAAAAAAAAAAAAAAAGGAAGGAAGGGAGGGATTAAGAGAGAGAGGGAGGGAGGGAGGACAGTCAACTAAGTTATAAACTGATAGAAAAATCAAACAGCAACCTTTTCTTTAAAGGACAGTCGACTAACTTCTAAAGTGCACAAAAGAAGGAAACAAATAGAACCAGGCCCCTAAAAAACAAGGGAGGATTAAGAACTCAGATCTACTGTACGGAAAACAGCACTATTCCTCGAAACGAGGGCGTTTGTTTATTATTCAAAAGTAGTTTATGCCTGAACGGCATTGTGCCTCTTTCAAAGTACTCGCATCTTTTCCTTCCCGTCCTTCCACTATACTGTGTGCATACTACCGCGTCACCTGGCAACAGGTGAGAACTGAGAGCTATATGCAGCTCCTCTGAAGCAGCCTGCCTCCTGCCCAAACTCTAAAGAATACGATGCTCCCCAGCACAGTCAGGGGTTCTGAGGGTAGGTCCTGACAACTACGCTGTGAGGGAGGAACCAGGTGTGCAAGGCGGCAACAGGAAGAGGTACACAGCGCCGCCCCGCCTAAGTTCCAGCAGGTTGCTCCGGCCGCAGCGGCCCCAAACAATGGAGTTTTCCCGCCTCCTTAAGGCTCCGCCCCCTGCTCCAGAGCCGGCGGAGCGCAGCGCGCAAGGCCCCGCCCCCGGCACAGCCCCGCCCACCCGAGCCCTCGGGTCCGGCCTCCCTCCTCGTGCACGGTTTTTTTCTTTTTTTTTTTTGGCGCCAAATCTGTTGGTCTTATTCCCCGGGTGTCTGGGGACTCCACCGGAAGGCGCACACTAGAAGCGCGCGGACGGTAGAGCATGAGGGAGGATCGGCGCGCCCCGCCCAGCCTCCCCACCGGCGGTCCCGGGCCGGGGGAGGAAGACAGGGGCCAGAGCCGGAGACGGCGCCGCGGCCCCCGGCAAGATGGCGGCCGCGAAAAGCGGGGCAGGGGGCGCCAGCCGCCCGCCGTTACCGCCCGCGCACGGGCTCCCCGCGGAAGCGGGGCTGCTCCGCTGTCCAGACCCGCCCGCCTGTGGGCAGCTGCTCCGGGGAAAGCAGTCCTTTCTCCGCTCGTCCACGCCTCCGGCGGAGCCCCAGCCCACCAGCCCTCCCCACAGACTCCGGCCAGTGCCTCAGGATCGTCACGGTCTCGCTTACTTGTCGGCGGAAACTAGCTCCGCGGCGATGGCAGCTGTGGCTGTGGACTCTGTGGCCATCGTTCCCCTGAGGTGGCGGGCCACTGGACGGAAACGAGCCTGTGGGAGAAACCGGGAATGTGGGACACCAGAACCTCCCCTACGGACAGAAAATGGCAGATTGGAGACCCCGCGCGGCTAGCGTTCCCTTATATACCAGGGCCTTTGCCCCGCCCATCCACTTCCGGATCCCCCCGCGGGTTTAAAGGGCCAGAACTCAAGCCTCCTTTCTATCCCAAGGACACTCCCGCTCTCCTTGTACCGCTCTGCGGGCTGCCTGACTTCTCCGACCCGCTTGCCCTCTCCGACCCGCTTGCCCTCCCCAAGCAACTTCCTGCCCCTGTAGCAAGTGGCTTAAGAAGAACTAGAATCTTCGGGTGTCAGACTGCAGCTTCCACAAAAAGTGAAGCCCGTACTGCTCCGCATACGTGAACGGGGTAGCTGAAGGGCTCCCTCTGGCTCGGACACCCGACAAAGGTGACTGAGATTTTCTCCCTGTCCGCTGTCTTAACGGATGGATACACAAGTGCTGAGCACGGGTCCAGCAGTAACGGCCAGAACTGACCTCGGTGAGAGACTCGTGGCTTTGAACCTCAGCAACTACTGACGCAAGATCAGGCTGCTCTAGAATTGGTTACATCTGAAACTACCGCGTTTTTTTCAAAGTCAGGGGGTTGCAGCGGAAGGAGGCTGGCTCCGTCCCTTTGGGCCCGCCCCCTTCGGATAACCCAATCCGCTGATGCAGCCCGCCTAGGCCCCACCCAGACTCCTAATCTGCTGGTGTAGTGCTTCCCAGCCCTCTGCTACCACCGAGGGCTAATCTCATGGAGTGTTGGCCGCTTGGAGGTTACCGTACTTAAACACTCTAAAACTGTTAAATGTCATTTAACTAACAGTGGGTCCCTCAAACGCATGCTTTATTTTCTACTGTAAATTTTTACTTTAGTGTTACAGTCGACGGCTGTGCGTCTCAGGACCTTTCCCTGAGTGATACAGGGAGCCATCTTTGTTTACCCACTTGGTACAAGGAAAGGCAAGGTGTGTGCACACGTGGAAAAGTGTAAAACCAGGATTTATACCCATATGATGCTCCGTGGAACAGTTTTTGCGTATGTCTTCCTGAGCATCAGTGAGGGTAAAATACACCCACAGAAGCCGAGTGCGGTGGCGCACGCCTGTAATTCCAGCACTAGGGAGGCTGAGGCAGGAGGATCATTGCGAGTTCGAGGCCAGCCTGGACTACAAAGTAAGCTCAAGGCCAGCCTTAACTGCATAGTGAGACCCTGTCTCAAAAAGACAAAACAAAACACCACCCACAGCACTCAAAGATTTGTTGTTTAGGTTTTATTTTTATTTTTCTGGTAGAAGTAGCCCAATTCAGTACAATGGCACATGAAAAACCAGATTTCCAAGTTTTGAAGGAGGTCAAAAGTGAACCAGGTTATTTATGCGTGGATGATAAAGATGAGCCACTATGATAACATACATGTTTTCATAACAAGAGTGGTGTGACTATCATGATGACAGTGATGATGACTTTAACATAATTGACTAATTGAAATGTTCCAAAACGGTCACTCAACCAAATGGAATTGGTTGAATGTTACAACTAGGTCCAAAAATATAGTGAAGGTCTTGGCAGGAATGAAAGGTATTGAAGAGAAAATCAGCACATTGTTGTGAGTTTGAGGCCAGTGTGGAGCTACATAAGTGAGTTCAAGGCACTAAATAGTGAGACTGTCTCAAAAAAATAAATAAATATGGAAAATTGCATATTATAATCTTTGGATTTTAGAAAGATTTACATTGGCTTCATATATGGCAAAGAAAAACAAAAAGGTACTGCTAATATCAACATTGCACCATGATGGAATTTTTGTGTGTGTGTGTCTTTTTGAGACACAGTTTCCCTATACAGTTCAGACTGACCTTGAGCTCACTTTGTAGTCCAGGCTGGTCTCGAACTTGCAACAATCCTCCTGCCTCAGCCTCCAAAGTGCTGGGATTACAGGTGTGTGCCACCATGCCTGGCTTGTGATGGAAATATTGATGAGGAAACTTCTATCAGGACAGTATTATCCCTTAGTTGCAGCAGACTGATCAGGTCTGCAATCACCCTAACAAGTGGATGGTAAAGGCTTAATAAAAGAGGCAAATGAAATTATTTCAGGGCTCCATCAGTATCAAAACCCTCTCACAGAATTCAAGACTCTCTCAGGCTAAAACCAAGATCTTCTCTGGGTGGCCTGTATTTATTTAGTTATCAGAATAAGGGAGGGGAATACTCAGAAGGGTGAGAAAGGTGGGAACCACTCAAGGACTTCCCCAAGTAAGGTGGTATATTAATTTAGGAGAGCTATGTTAACTCCAGGAAGGTCTCCACCCAGGAATGAGATGCCTGAGGTTATAGTCTTTATCTAGTTGAGGTTGGAACCAGGTGTCCCTGGCTGTGACCTTGTCTTATCCTTTGAGGCTTCATGGCTTCACCCACCATTGCAGGCCTCTGTAGGGATCAGTGACTCAAACAGTTTCACTTACTAAGAGTCCGCCACCAATCTCCAGTGAAGGGGCCTAGGCTTTGGACAGACTCACAAGTAAACATGGTAAGCCAGTTGGTTAATTTAAGTCCTGTTCAGGGCTGCTTCATATTGGTCTCCATCAAACCTCAACAAAAGGAAAGCCTGAGGTGGCAACTTTCTACAACAAAACCAAAGGCAGAATGGCTGTTGTTGATGAGTTATGCAGCAACTATAATGTCACTTGAAACACAAAACATTGGCCAGTGGTTGTGTTTTACTCAGTCCTAAACATCTATGACGTAAATAGTTTGATAGTTTACAAAGAAACTAACAAGTGCAAAATACCACAGAAAATTTTTCTTAGAGGATTGGTTTTTTGTTTTTTGTTTTTTTTTTCTATTTTGGGGGGTTTTTTTGTTTTTTGTTTTTTGTTTTTTTTAGACAGGGTCTCACTATGCAGTTCAAACTGGCCTTGAGCTCACTTTGTAGCCTAGGCTGATCTCAAATTCACAACAATATTCCTGCCTCAGCCTCCCAAGTGCTGGGATTACAGGCGTGCACCACCATGTCCGGCTTTCTTAGAGGACTGGGATTGGAATCCATAAGAGATCATTCACAGCCAAAGAAAAACAAAATGTTCATGCCCAGGGAACTACACAAAAAAATTGTAGCTGGGCGTGGTGGCGCATGCCTGTAATCCCAGCACTTGGGAGGCTGAGGCAGGAGGATATTGCAAGTTCAAGACCAGCCTGGACTACAAAGTGAGCTCAAGGCCAGCCTGAACTGCATAGCAAGACCCTGTCTCAAAAAAGACCAAAAAAGAAAAATTGTAGACTACCCTAGTGAGCTGACAGGTGAATAGGCATGTGCAGCCTCCCAAAGACCTACTATGACAACAGGAAAACTAAAAAGATGTCAACTGTGCCAGAGAGGAAAAGAAAACATATATGCTATCAGTGTAAGTACTACTTGTATATGGAACATGGAATTTTCATGTTTGAAGACTGCCTTGAGTGTGACAATTGAAGCAAAGATTACTTTTGTTGTACAGTTCTATAGGTATTTTTCATTTCACATAGTTTTTTATTTCTGATGTTATCTCTGAGGTTTTGTAAGCAAGTAAATAGTTGATGGGTCTGGGATATACCTCAGTAGCACAGTACCTGCCTGGCAAGCTCAAGTTGTGAGTTCAATTGCCAGTACAAAAAAAAAAGGAGGGGGTGCTGGGGATTTAGCTCAGCAACATAGCACCTGCCTGGCAAGCACAAGGTCATGAGTTTGATTCCTGGTATCAGAAAAAAACAAACAAACAAACAAACACACAAAAAATCCCACATTTTATTTTCTTATTTTTTAAGTGTGATAATTAAAGTTTTTTGTAGAGTGCTATTGGTATTTTCATTGTAGTTCATACAGGAATTTCTTTTTTT